GCGTTCCACCGGCACTGCTACTGCCTCCCGAGCGTCTGCCCTGGGAAGCCCTATAAGCTGTTGGGACGGAGTGAGCAGCGGGCTCCTGCTGGACAGGGCTGCTGCTGCCGTTCCCACTGCCACTGGACGTCTTCGGGCCCCGGGCTTCGCTGCCTCCTATACACGGAAATAAGCTCTAATGGGTCTTTTGGGCCAAAAATAAATATAAGACCTGTCCTCTTTTCGGGGAAACGCGGGTATGTATTTTCACCGCCTTGAATTACTTATAAAAATGATAAAAGCGAGAAATAAACGAACAAGTTGTCCTACTAATGTCCTTAAAAAAACCCCACCAAACTTCAGCAATCTGGAAGCTGCATGCTGGGTGTATGTCTGTTTGTTTGTGTGTCTGCATGTAATCATACTTCTCTCAGCTGCTCGGTTTTATAATCCCTTTACCGTGGCTTTTAGGCTTTGTTTCTTCCTCATTTCCTCAGGGCCCTGAGAATTAGTGTTCCCCCTTTCTCCGCACTAAACTGAGGCCATGTTTTCATAAACTGCTCCTTCATTTTTAATTAGCCCTTGATTCTCCTTAAGATCTTCTCTTAGTAATGACAAAAGCACATCTAAAAAGGAATACTGGTGCTTCTTGAAATGTGACTGTGCTCTTCAACTGTGTGCCAAGAAAATTACACAAAGCAGATTCTCTCCACTTTGTGAGAATGACTTTGCCATCAGCAGGCTCGCTTTCTAGAAAGAAAATGCACAGAGTAGAATAATGGAGCTGGAAGGGACCTTGGAGGTCTTTTAGTCCATCCCCCTGCTCAAGCAGGAGAACCTATAGCACTGGCGGCGAACCTATGGCACGGGTGCCAGAGGCGGCACTCAGAGCCCTCTCTGTGGGCACGTGCCTGTCGCCCCAGTCCTAGGCCTTCAGCTGGGTTTTATAAAATCTTTTCGCTTTAGGTCTCCGTCGCCGTGTGCAAAAAAAAAAAAAAAGGTTCAATCAATCAGTCAATTTCAACTTCTCACGTGAAAGAAAAAGATCTTGCAAAGTTGGAATTGATTGATTGAACGTTTTAGTCCCACCCAGTCTGCCGTTACCATAGCAGCCATGCCCACCCAACAGGCCACACCCACTTGGCACCCAACGATGCATAAGTGGGTTTTGGGTTGCAGTTTGGGCACTCGGTCTCTAAAAGGTTCGCCATCACTGCTATATGCCATTTCAGACAAGTGGCTGTCCAGTCTCTTCTTAAAAACCTTCAGTGTTGGAGCACCCACAACTTCTGGAGGCAGGTTGTTTCACTGGTTAATGATTTTAACTGTCAGGAAATTTCTTAGTTCTAGCTTGCTTCTCTCCTTGATGAGTTTCCAAACGTTGTTTCTTGTCTTGTTGAGAAAGCAACACAGACCTGACACTTAGTAAATGCAGAGACCCTCATATCCTCCCTCACCCAAATTCATCCTAAAGGATCTTTACAAGTCTCAAAGATTAGAAAGATAAGGCCTTGACAGGATCTGTGATAAGAGCTGAGTAGGGATGGGTGATTATGGATTGTCTAACCCAGGGGTCCCCAACCTGTGGGCCACGGCCTAGTACCGGTCCGTGGCCTGTTGGCTACTGGGCCGCAGGAATGGCTGGCGACTGGATGCACATGTGCACGCACCCTCCCCACTCATGCTAGTGCTGCCATGTGGTGCTAGCTGTCATGCCTCCATCGGAGCCTGAATCTGCAGAGGAACATGAGCTGGAACTGGACCCTATGGAGGCTGAGGGAGAGGGGTCTGTGGCTTTGGAGGAATGTGGGGAAGAGCAGGCCAAGGCAGGCCAGGGCCCTTCAGGAGTGGGACAGGAGGAACACGAGATACAGAATTCAGGTGATGAGCAAGGGCCACCCCCACCTGATCCTAGAGCACGGAGAGTGGAGAGAAGGAGGGAACAACGCAGGCAGGCTCAGCTACTTGGGAGGAGAGCCTCCCGCCCCTCTCCACGAGGCACACCTGGAGACTGAGATTTAAGGAGAGGCTGTGGGGAGAGGCATTTGTCGGGAACAAATGCTGATTCCTTGGAGGTTTGTGTGTGTTGTTGCTGATCTCTTGTTCTGTATTGTGACTTCTGCTTGGAAACCCGGAAACTCTGACCCTTGGACTGGCTGACAACGTCGCTTGGATGTTCAAAGATCTCAGACTGTATTTGGGCTTCCCTTTGGAAACTGCTCAGGCAAGCGTGGATTCACACAGACCCCTTAGGTTTATGATGTATGTGTCATTCCTTGGCTTTAGAAGCCTAGTGATCCTCAGTTATTTTGTCATTCAAAAATTAATTGAGAGTAGATCATTGCTTCTGTCGAATATCGGAGAGACCAGAGATCAGGAATCAGTTTAATGCAGAGGTTATGATGGTGGCTTAGAAACCAAGAGACGGAGAGTTCTAGGCCCGCCTTAGGCATGAAAGCCGGCGGGGTGGGAGATTTTGAGCCAATCAGCAAGAGATGGAGAGTTCTAGTCCCGCGTTAGGCATGAAAGCCAGCTGGGTGGGTGATTTTGAGCCAATCACCAGGAGACGGAGAGTTCTAGTCCCGCCTTAGGCATGAAAGCCAGCCGGGTGGGAGATTTTGAGCCAATCACCAGGAGACGGAGAGTTCTAGTCCCGCCTTAGGCATGAAAGCCGGCCGGGTAGGTGATTTTGAGCCAATCACCAGGAGACGGAGAGCTCTAGTCCCGCCTTAAGCATGAAAGCCGGCCGGGTGGGTGATTTTGAGCCAATCACCAGGAGACGGAGAGTTCTAGTCCCGCCTTAGGCATGAAAGCCGGCCAGGTGGGTGATTTTGAGCCAATCACCAGGAGACGGAGAGTTCTAGTCCCGCCTTAGGCATGAAAGCCAGCTGGGTGACTTTGGGCCAGTCCCCCTTTTTCACTCCCACCCACTCCTCATAGGGTTGTTGTAGGGAAACTAGGAGGAGGAAGTATTATTCACCACCTTGAGTTATATATAAAGTAATAAAGGCTGGATAAAAATCTGATCAGATAAGTCTTTTATTCTGGCAAGGCCTACTTTCCCTTTGGAGCAGTTCTTCTAGGGCAACCTGCCAGGATCAAGCAGAGTTGGAGTCAATTGTGGATAGATCCAGAACCGGAAACATGGAGAGATGAATCCTTTTTTCCCTACGGTGTCCTATCCACCCTGATAGCTGCAGTCTCATGACTGCACTTCGGGTCCTCATCATCCGGGCCACATTTAGCGCCATTTGCAGCATTTTATGAAAGTTTTGCTGGAAACTGACATTTCCTTCTGGTTTTAAGCAAACACTGCACCCGCTTAGTGAACTATTGCTTTGCTTAACAACCCCACAGTTTCCTTAACAACCATGGCAAGCAAGGCCATAAAATGGGTCAGTCACACAACTTGATTTAGGACTGTTCCTGTTTTCAACTCAAGGGCTTTCTTTAAATGATTCTGGATGCCTGGTAACCATCAAAAATGATATAAAACAACAAAAGAGCAATAGAAGGACTATATATAAGTAATCCTCGACTGATAATTATTCGTTTAGTGACTGTTCAAAGTTACAACGGCATTGAAAATAGTGGCTTGTGGCCATTTTTCGCACTTAACAACCCTTGCAGCGTCCCCCATGGTCATGTGATCAAAATTCGGGCGCTTGCCAACTGGCTTGTATTTAAGAGGGCTGCACTGTCCCGGGGTCATGTGATCACTGCTGCTGTTCACCCTGTTGACCCATGACTGTTGTGCTAGGTTTGCCACCAACCATATTGTGAAGTATGTGGGCGATATAACAGCAGTGGGCCTTATTCATGATGAAAAGGTGGAAGGTTACCGCAAGGAGGTTGAGGATTTGGTGAACTGGTGTAATAAAAACAGCCTAGTTTTAAACATTGGAAAAACCAAAGAGATCATTGTCGATTTCAGAAAAGGCAGGCACAGCCACACTTCTCTGTGCATTAATGATTCCCCCATGGAGATGGTTACCAGCATCAAATTCCTGGGTATGCAGTTAACAAGTGGGCTGGGCTGGTCGCTCAAGCGCGAGACACTGGTGAAACAGTCACAGCGGGTCCTTGCCACTTTCTACAGAGGGACGATGGAGAGCATCCTGTCATATTGCATTACAATCTGGTTTGGAAGCATCACTGCTTCAGACAGGAAGGCATTGCAGAGAGTGGTAAGGACGGCAGAAAACATTATTGGCAGTTCACTTCCGTCTATCCAGGGTGTTGCATATAAGCGATGCTTGAGTAGGGTCTGAGACAGTACATCCTCTTCACAACCTGTTTTCCTTGTTACCTTCTGGGAGGGGGGGCTCCATGGTATCCAAAGCAGAACATCCAGATTCAGCCATAGTTTTGTTCCATACAGTATCAACCTTGTGAACTCTGAAGCTTCTTCTTTCCGTTATGTATATGGGATGGACGGTGATTAAATATATTATCTATTCTATCTATCTATCTATCTATCTATCTATCTATCTATCTATCTATCTATCTATCTATCTATCTATCTATCTATCTATCTAAATCTAAATGAGGATCCAGATTGTTGGGGGCAGTATGCTGAATTTGTAAACTGCTTAGAGAGGGCTATAAAGCACTGTGAAGTGGTATATAAGTCTAAGTGCTGTCTGCCTGTCTGTCTTCTATCTGTTTATCTGTCTGTCTATCTATCTATCTATCTATCTATCTATCTATCTATCTATCTATCTATCTATCTAATCTATCATCATTTGTAACCTTCCCTTCCACTTTTCAACAAGCCATTGGGGAAGCCATGTTAGCTTAACAACCGCATAATTCACTAAACAGCTACAGCTATTGATCTCCTTAACTATTGTGGCAAAAAGATCGTAAAATAGGGTAAAACTCTTTTAGCCACCCGCATTGCTTAGCCGTGGAAATTGGGGGGGGGAGGAAGAGGGGCTCAGTTGTGGCCCTAACTTGAGGACTGCCTCTAAAAGTCCGAAACTTGTTGAAGCCCGGTTCTCTTTCTGGATCCCCCGCAGGAGAATGCCGGCCAAAGTTGCGCAACCCCAAAGCCAAAGGGGAAAGGAAGAAGAAGAAGCAGCGGCGTTTGCACGAACTGCTTCCTCCCCTCCTCCTGCCCCAGCCCTACACGCCCAGGGACGAGCGGCAGCAGCCCCAGCCCAGCCCTCCGGCGGAAGGGAGGCCCGAGAGGACCAGGCACCCGGCCGAAGACAGCCAGCCCCTCATGCCCAACCTCAGCGCCCTCTCTTCCGAAGGTCCCGTCGAGGAGGACGAGTCCAAGCAGCGGCCCATCATCCCCATGCTCTACGTGGTGCCCCAGTGCAAGAAGGCGGCTGTGGAGAAGAAGCGCCTGACCTGCCAGGAGGTCTTTGAGCGGTTCGTGAAGAAGGACCAGATGGCCTCGCTGGAGCTGGACGTGAAAGACGAAGACAGCGTCGAGGGGGAGAACGCCGAGGGGGCTGCCGAGCCCAGTAAATTGCAGGTAAGCCCCAGCCCAAATCCAGCCTTGCAAAGTTAGCCTTGTGAAGAACCGAGTTGGAAGGGACCTTCGAGGTCTTCTAGTCCAATCTCCTGCTCAAGCAGACGACCCTGTGCCAGGGGTCTTCAAACTTGGTCCTTTTATGACTTGTGGACTTCAGCTCGCAGAATTCCTCAGCCAGGCAGGCTGAATTAGAGAGTGCTGACTCATGCATGAGGCAATCTACACTCTGATTGGTTGCTGTGGGTATGAAGGGGATGTTTCCCTTTTTTCCCGCCTTTTTTCCTCTGTGTGTTCTGTATACTGTTTGATTTACCTCAGGATATTCCTATTCCTATGTCACTATCTTGTGTTTTTCCTTTCTGGACGATGATAAAAATGTAAACTTAAATGTGCCTGGCTGAGGAATTCTGGGAGCTGAAGTCCACAAGTCATAAAAGGGGCCCAGTTTGAAGACCCCTGCCCTATGTCATTATCAATAAATGGCTATCCAGTCTCTTCTTAAAAACTGCCAACAATGGGGCACCCACCACTTCTGAAGGCAAGCCATTCCACTGATTAATTGTTCTCACTATAAGAAAATTTCTCCTTAATTCCAGGTTGCTTGTCTCCTTGATTACTTTCCATCCGTTGCTTCTTTTTCCTGCCTTCAGGCGCTTTGGAGAATAGGTGGACACCCCCCCCCCCCTTCTTTGAGGCAGCTCTTTAGATATTGGACATGATAGCAATCTTCCAATATCTCAGGGGCTGCCCCAAAGAAGAGGGAGTCAAGCTGTTCTCCAAAGCACCCGAAGGCAGGAGAAGAAGCAACGGATGGAAAACTAACCAAAGAGAGAAGCAACCTAGAACTAAGGAGAAACTTCCTGACAGTTAGAACAATTAACCAGTGGAACAACCTGCCTCCAGAAGCGGTGAATGCTCCATTACTGGAAGTTTTTAAGAAGAGACTGGACAGCCATTTGTCTGAAATGGGTTAGGTTCTCCTGCCTGAGCAGGGGGTTGGGCTAGAAGACCTCCAAGGTTCCTCCCTGTGATTCTGTTACTCTATTCTGTTAACTCAGATCTAGTGGATAGACCTGCTAATCTTCCTTTCGGGGTTAATTTTTTTCTACGCCTATTTTTTTCCCCCCATTTTGTTTCTTCTTTTATTAAAACTCGGAAATTCACACGATTTGGTTACAGGTGGGGAAGGTCATGTATTTTTAAAGCACGATTCGAAACCATAGCATGACTACCCCGGTCACGGAGCCCATTTGTCTTGTCTACCTTTCTGTAATCCCTGAGATGTTAAAACCTTGCTGAATTGATTGCCTAGAAATCATAATGCAGGCTCTTCCTATTCCAGACTGCTTCAATGAGCTGGCTAGCTTCTTTCTCCCTAGTGTGTTATTCTCCTCTTCCTTTTCTCTGCTTGTTTCATACTTATCTCCCCTGCCCTTAGAGCTGTAGAAGAGATAAACTTAATATTTGTTGAACTTGCAGTTTGTGGCTTGGCTGGCAACTGGGTAGGATGGACACAAAAGGAAGTGAGCTTCTCAGGCTTAGCGCTTCGGGTGCTTTGATAACAGTTTGGGGGGGGGGAAACATTCTACATTAGTACTTTTTTTGCTTTTTTAAAAAAAGAAATAATAATATTGAAATCTCACTGGTAGATGTCTTATGGATTGCGTGTTTTGTCAGTCCGTGCAGGTATGTTGTATGGACACAACCTCACCCTTTCTTAGACCGTGCGGTACAGTTTTTGGTTGTGTGATTCAAAAAGCTCCACTTGGCAGAGCGAAAAATCATATTTTCAAATGAAAACGTTCCTCTCCCTTCCTGGTGCTTTTTTTCCTAAGCGTGCACAAGCGTCTTAACAATCTTCCCATCGGTTTGTCCCTAGTGCAGCCTCACGACACGGGTTTTCAAATCTGTGGATAGATTTGAACCTGGTTAGTTTTTCAGGCACTACAGCCCAATCTCATTCGTCAAAAAATGCAACTTTGGACATTGCCCCAAGTGTGACTGTATTATGAAGGCCGGACTTCCTTTTGACGCAGAGAAATTGAACGGCTTGGTTCCTCCTATCCTAAAACATTTATTATTTTAAAAGATGTCTCCCCCTCACTCACAGCTGGAACCCTTTCATGAGAATGCCACAATCACCAGCAAATTCAACTGTGAGGTTTTAAGGAATCACCTTTTGATGACAGGATAGGATGGATTGGTTGACAGCTTCTTGGTGATAGCATGTGACATAATTCTCCCCTAGTTTGTAAGTTGAGTCACTTTCCTTCTGAGATGTGAAGCAAAACAGAAGGAAGACGACCAGAAGGAATGTCCATCCATCCATCCACCATCCATCCATCCATCCATCCATCCATCAAAACGTAGAAAATGACAGCAGAAAAATGCTAATGACCCATTGAGTTTGCTTTTTGTTTTTTATTTATTTTATTTTAATTATTTTTTTTCTTTTTATTTTATTATTTTTAATTTTTTTGCCAGGTGATGTATGTATGTTTATCCCAAGCATGTTTAAACTCGGTTACTAATGAACTCAGTTACTCCATCCATCCATCCATCCAAACATACAAAACTGGCCCATTGAGTCTTTGAGTTTGTTTGTTTTTTCTTTTTAACTTATTAATTTTTATATTTTATATTTTATTTTTTATTTTCAATTTTTACACAGAGGATGGATATGTGTTTATCCCAAGCATGTTTAAACTCAGTTATTGACAATCTGTTACTCCACCCACCCATCTATCTATCTATCTATCCATCCATCCATCCATTCAGACTCATGTGACAATAAGATGGGGGGCATTTACATCTAATAAATAAATAAATTAAATAAAACTTCATCCATTCAATCTATCCGGTCACCTCGTTTGAATTCTTCAGTGTCACCTTGAACAAAGCATTTGAGGGCTGCGTTCCGTGTCAGCAGCTATTCAGGAAGTCTTCAGTATAGGACTGTAAGGGAGCCTCTCCATTACAGTCCTATGACATAATGGTCAAAAAGCAAGTAGGTCACATAATCCAGGGGTTCCCCCCCTCCCCCGGGCTATGGACTGGTACCGGTCCATAGCCTATTAAGAACCGGGCCGCGGAGCTGGAGTTGAGGTGAACAAAATTGCGCATGTACAAGATCTAGGTTTGCACGCCCCTCCTCCCCACCCCGGTTCCACGGGAAAAATGTCTTCCATGAAATAGGTACCTGGTGCCAAAACGGTTGGCGGACCGCTGACATAACCGACCCAATTTTATGACCCCTTTTTGCAGCGGTCGATAAGCGTTGTATGCCCCATTGTTCTTTAGGGCGCAGTTTTGCCTAAAAACCCAAACTTAACCTGTGCTTTTCAGCAAACCCAGCATACAATGCAGTCATGTGACTGCAGGACATTACAAAGGGCCGTGCTGGCCAAGTCTGGCCAAGGGACCCTAGGGGAGCGACTGTCGGAACTCACCTTTTTTGCAACAAGTTCTAACTTGGAACAGTCGTAAACCAGATTGTCTGAGAACTATGGGAAAGCCAGTCCCTCCCTCTCCGACGGGCACCCAACACAGAGAGCCAGCAGACGTAAGATTGAATTTGTCACATTTGAAGTCATTTTCCGGTGCAATGTATTAATAGACGTTCTAACAGCTCCGTGGGCAGGTTCTTTCTCTGTGTCTTTCTTGTCCAAATCTTGGTTTTTTTGTGTATGTTTTTTTTTTTTTTTTTTGTCCTTTTTGTGTTGGCGGTCCTACTTAGAAATAACTCAATCCCACCTGTCAGTGACTCAGTTGCCCCCACAGACACTCAGAAAGACAAGAGAGTGTCTTGTGCAGTAAATAAATCTTTGAGCAGCAAAGATGATGAGAGGCCTGGAGGCTAAAACCCCTGAAAAATGGTTGCAAAAATTGGGTATGTCTAGTTTAAGGCAAAGAAGGATTAGGGGTGACATGAGAGCAGCCTTCCAGTATTTGAGGGGCTGCCACAAAGAAGAGGGGGGGTCAAGCTATTCTCCAAAGCCCCTGAAGGCAGGACAAGAAGCAACGGATGGAAACTAATCAAACAGAGAAGCAAGCTAGAAATAAAGGGGAAAAATTCATAACAGTGAGAACAATCAATGGAACAACTTGCCTCCAGACGTTTGTGCGTGCTCCAACGTTGAACGTTTTTAAGAAGAGACTGGACAACCATTGGTCTGAAACAGGGTAGAGTGTCCTGCCTGAGCAGGGGGTTGGACTAGATGACCTCCAAGGTTCCTTCCAACACTGTTATTCTGAGAACCAGTGGAACAGCTTGCCCTTAGAAGTTGTGGGTCCTCTAACACTGGAGTTGTTAAAGAAGAGACTGGACAACCATTGGTCTGAAGTAGTATAGAGTTTCCTGCCTTGGCAAGGGGGTTGGACTAGAAGACCTCCAAGGTCCCTTCCAACTCTGTTATTCTGTTAATTCTGTTAAATATTCCTCCTGTCGCAAGCCTTCTAAACCCCTTCACGCCCACTCAAGCTATACTACTCTGCGGTTTATTAACCACAATTTGCACAGATGGCACGTTTTGAGACATGGAAGAAGAGGCTTCTTCCTTGTTCTTTTGGCCTACGTAACATTTAAAAGCAGCCTTCTCTGAGTGCAGGTAGTCCTCAACATACAACTGTCCGTTTAGTGACTGTTCAAAGCTTCAACGGCCCTGGAAAAAAGCGACTTACACTTTTCAAGCTTCACGAACGTTGCAGCCTTCCCCGTGGTCACGCGATCGTAATCCGGGCACTTGGCTTGTATTTATGACGGTTGCACCGTCCTGGGATCATGGCACCAGCGCTAGCCTTAGACTCTTTCCAGCCAGCTTCCAACACGCAAAGTCAGTTAGAGGAGGTCAGATTTGTCTGGTGACCCTGTGAGAGCCACTTAACAACTGCAGTGATTCGTTTTAACACCCGTGATAAAAAAAAAAAAAGATCATAAAATGGGGCAAAGCTCACCACAACCATCTTGTTTAGCCGTGGGAATTGTGGCTGTTGGTTAAGGA